CTCCTGGCAGATTCAGAGGTGAGAACAGCAGGTGCGGAGGCAAGCAGAGGCCAGGCCCCAGCGGACATCTGAGCTGCGTATGGACTCCGCTGACTGCCCGTGGAGCCACAGCCGAGGTGGGGGGAAGTGGGGTGGCTGGGGTGTGGTCACGTGACAAAGGAGAGACGGTCGAGGGAGGTGGGGGGAGGGTAGCTGGTGGCTTCACGGCGAGTCGTCAGAACTGCCCGGGACGTGCCGAGCACAGGCCCCCAGGCCCCCCCCTCACATGCCCTCTGGGGGCAGGGCCGGGGGACAGTTCCTGAGGAGACTGGGCTGGCGGGTGCACTGCGCCCCCCGGGCCTGAGTCCCGGCCCCAGGACTCCGCCCCAGCAGAGCCAGGTGTCACTCAGAGCCGCTGAGACTGATGACGTCGGGGCCTTTTCTTACACTCTGAAGACCTGCAGTGGGAACAAGCGAGCAACCAGAATGACGGCGAAGGTCCCCATCTGGGCTGGAACAGCCACGCGGCTGAGGTCCCCAAGGGCGTGAGCCATGCCAGGGAGGCGGCCGGGGCCAGGTCCCAGGGGCTGCGGTGGCCGCCGGGAGTGTGGCCGTCCCCACGTCGTGATAGATGGGAGCTCCTCCGCTCTTGCCCCCTCCCAGACTTTCACTGCGTAACTGAGGTTCCCGAGAGAACCGGGCGCACCTGGGGAGCTGCCCCAGCACGGGGCTCCCGGAAACACCACGACTAAACACTCGGCTCTAACGACACCACAGTTTAACAGCTCAACACCACCGAAACTGCCGCGGAGGAGGGCGACAGAAAGCAGAGACAGAGCTGGCTGAGGGGGCCCGCGCGAGGGCCGGCCAGGGGAAGAGTGGTGGCCTCCGTGGCGCAGCAAGGCACGCTGCCTAGCAAGCTGGCCGTGGGCAGGACCGGAGTCTCTCCACAACAGAAGTGAGGGGGCCGGCATGGGGGCCGGCATGGAGGCGCGGCGGGCAAAGCTGCTGCCTGTAATGCCGGCATCCCATATGGGTACTGACTTGGGTTCCAGCTGCTCTACTTCTGATCCAGCTTCCTGCTAATGGTCTGGGAAGACAGCAGAAGATGGCCCAATGCTTGGGCCTCTGACACCCACATGGGAGACCCAGAAGAAGCTCCTGGCTTTGGCCTGGTCCAGCCCTGGGCACTGCGGCTTTCTGGAGAGTGAACCAGCAGATGGAAGATCTAACTCTCACTCTCACTCTGTAACTCCCACTTTCAAATAAATAAATAAATATTCTTAAAACACCTATTAAAAGTGAGACCACCCTCCCGGTTGGTGGGGTTCCTGGGGCTGCAGACCCCAGAGGGATGTCACCGCACAGATCAAAGGCCCAGAAATCGCAAACCCATGCAGTTCGTTATTCAGACGAGCACACGTAGTCCGAAGTCAGCTGGAAGATCGAGGATGGGCCAAGGGGCCAGAGGCTAGAACAAGGCACGAAGGCCAGGCCAGGCCAGGCCAGACACGGGTGGTCGGAAGGCAGAGAGAAAGACCCACAGGAAGCTTGGCAGCCAGAAGACGCAGAGCAACGGCCCTGGCTCTGCGGGAAGGACCTCGGAAAGCTGTGCTCCAGGATGTGTCTCAGCCATCGAAGCCCAGAAAAGTGGCCCCGACGCCCGGTGACAGAGAACAGCCCAGGGTAGCACCCCTTCTTCAGAGACCCCATCGGCCTCGCCAGCAGACGTGACCCTGTGACGGCGTGCCCGTGGGCCAGGTCCCCGAGGGCTGAGCAGTACTGTGCCAGCTCGTGCACACCAACAGGGCAGGAGGAGCTGGGCCCACCCCCGGCGCCACCGTGAGTCCTGGCCTGCTCACACGCAGTCAAGAAGAACCAAGCGTCTCTTGCAGCCACTGCGGTTTGGAGCTCTGGTGCCGCAGCTCAGACCTGACCCCGATCGGTCCATGGAAGCCCTGGAGGATGCACGGCACTAAATCGGCCCTGGGGAAACGGAAGCCCCAAGGACCAGGGCATCCGGCCCGGGGGAGGGGCAGCCACTGGCCCCGGTGTGTGTGCGGGAAAGGAGCCTCTGGAGGAGGGGACACAGGGAGACTCCGGGGCGGCTGACCCTGAGCGATGGGCCATGGGCACCACTGGATGGAGACGCCAGAGCTGCTGGAGGGCGCAGAGATTCCTGGGATATTCGAGGCAGGCGGAGGCCAGACCACGGTAAGCCACTCAGCCAGTTTCCCAGCAAGGCCAGCCGAGTCTCCAGTGAACATGTTCAAGTGCATGTGTGCCACACACAGAGCAATGGCAGCCCAAGAACCAAGTCAGAGGCCCAGGCAGCAAGACAGCTCCGAGGGCTGGGGCACACAGATGCCGTCAAGGCTTCAGGTTAAAACAAATAACTTAAAAATGAAAGAATGCCAAGGAAAACGCCAAGGCTTCTGAAAGCTGAGATGGGAAGGGTACAGGCTAAAGACTCCTAGGGCCTCCCTCACCCAGGCTCCGGGCCCACAGGCACCTGCTGCTCAGCCTTCAGGCTGCACAACCAACCATGCAATGGGGGTGGGGCAGGAAAGGGGTCTTTTCCAGGTGGACACCAGTGCTTTCAGGAGGCGGGGGACCGGCCTGCACTTCTGCAGAGTCGCGCCTGTCAAAGTGGCTGCCCTCAGCCCCCTCGTGTTCACCCCTGTGTCCCGGGGAGATGACAGCAGGTCTGTCCATGTACCCAGGAGGAGAAACAGGCTCGTGCCTGCGGGGGCCACCGGGGTCTACCTGATGCCCAACCAGAAAGGCCCACCACACCTCCTGCACCTCTCACGGGGCGATCGTCACCGGGACCTGCGGCTGAGTCCTTGAGACCAAGACCAGCCGCTTTGTGTTGGCCTCAGAAAAGAGGAAGTGCGAGTGATTTTCCAAGACACACGACAGCCCAGAACCATCAAATGAAGGCAAAATTAGCATCCATCTCAGTTCACCACGGCATCTGCAGTCGGCACCCACAGAGTCACCATACGGGGAAGACACTGACGCAGTCGATGGCAGGAAAACACAACAAAACCACGGTGCCGGGGCCTCGCAGCACAGCGTCCAGCTTACTCATCCACTCCAGGCACTTGGGAGGGGAAGCTATTAAAGCATGGTTCTATAAATCACAGCCGCAGACGCCTATGAAAACAGGCATTACGTGTCGTGAAGCATGGTAGCCACTTGGCAGACACCGCTGGAGCTCGTGCCCACACCGAGGGAAGCAGCCCGGCTCGTGAACACACACAGCGAGCTGCAGACCCCCAGGGCTCCCCAGCAAGGAGCTCTCCCTTGCAGCCCACCGGCGCCTCTCCGCGCGACCCACGGTGCAGACGTCTCAGAAAGTGAGGCGGAGAATCTCACAGAAGTCAGCTAGGACGCGGCCACCCGGGCGGGGCTCAAGGGCAGCTCCTCAGACGCACAGCCTGGGTGCCAGGCAGCCGGGCTCGGGAGAGGGACGGAGCCCACACAGCCGGCGAGGAGAGCAACGCAGGAGAGCTGACGAGGCCCAGCTGCTAGGAGGTGCGGACACGGGGCCTGGCGCAATGGCTCGCAGGCCGAGGGTGGTTTGGCCAGCGTTTGGTGGGAAGAGGAAAACAATCACAGAGGTGAGAAACGAAACACAGAGGGATTAACAAAAAAATAAACAGTCCTGAAAATGTATCCCAGGGGCGGCGCTGTGCCACAGCAGGTTAAGTCATCCCCCGTCACGCTGGCATCCCACGTGGGCACTGGTTCACGTCCCAGCTGCTCCATTTCTGATCCAGCTCCCTACTCACGCACCCGGGAAAGCAGCAGAGGATGGCCCAAGTCCTTGGGCCCCTGCACCCATGTGGGAGACCAGGATGGGGTTCCAGGCTACTGGCTTTGGCCTGGCCCAGCTTTGGCTGTTACTGCCAACCGGGGAGTGAACCAGCGGATGGAAGATCTCTCACCTTCTCTCTCCCTCTCCCTCTCTCTCTCTGTAACTCTGCCTTTCAAATAAATAAATCGCACACACACACACACCTGAAATCCGGTTCTGACAAGCTCAGGGTCCATTATTCCCCAGTCTAAACACACCCTGTGCTGGAGTAAGCTCGCTTACACAGAGTAAGATCCTGGCCCTGCTCCCGAGCGCCTGGCACAAAGACCACAGCCAAGCCTGCAGAGTGGTGCCATCTGCTCTGGGTTTTAAAGGATCAATACGAGCTTCCTGAGCAGAGAAGAAAGGAGGACTTGGCCTTCCAGGCACCAGGAACTGAGAGCACAAACGGACGGCTCCATGCACACGCGCCTGCTGAGCCTGGGGAGGGGTGCTGCTTGCGCACCAGGACAGCTGCGCCCGACCTTGTCACCCACCCACCACCCTCACAGCAGTACTGCCTGCACCACGCCACTGCTTTCTCCCTGACGCCTTTCTTCAGAACGGCCTGTTTTTTGAAGTTTACTTTGATTTCAGTCACAATGATAAGGCCCATGGAATGATGGGTTGATGCACTACTTATATTTGGCCTGAAGCACGAAACATCATCCATTACCAAGGTAAAGAGGGCCCGCCACGACCCCAGAGCCCAGCTCTCCTGCGCTCCAGCCACATTTCCCAAGCTCCAGCAAGACCAAGACAGGCACTTCAAGGCCTGTGCTGTTTGAGGCGGGGTTTGTACTCATTGGGGAAAATGCACGCGAACATCAGAGGCAAAACCATCTCCAGTGCTGCGCTGTGGGGACAGCAGCCCTGCCCAAGCCCCAGGAAGCCACTGGGCATCTCGGGGCCAACAGGTGCTGGGGCTGCGTGGGACCCTCCACGGGAAGCAGTCGCCCATCTGACTTCCATTTCCAATTTTAAAAACAGGCGCCGGCAGGATTTCAGTGATTTCTTATGCAACCTCTTAAAAGTTTAAATTTATACTTCGCTAAACGCAAGAACCTAAACTGGGTCAGACAGTAGCCTGGCTTCCCGGGGGACGCCAAGGAGCCAGTGAAGAGGAAGGAGCAGCCGGAGACAGCGACTGCTTTCTCACCTCCGTGCACGAAGCCATGCAGGGTGCAGTCCGACGGCCCCACCAGGTGGATCAGGCTGGACTGGCTGTAGCTCACCGTGTTGGGCTCTGCAACGGCAAAGGAGACAGGTCAGTCACGGGGCGAGCAAGTCCGTGGCGGAATCAGACTGTCCAACGCGCATCACAGCCACGGGCGCCTGACCGCCAGCAACTTAGGATTTCACCGTGGTCTCCCACCAGCTTCCGGCTGGGGAAGGGGAAGGCGGGCCACTTCCTCGGCCTTCCATTCATGATCCCCGATGCTACTCTCTCAGGCTGCAAGGTCAGGGGCTCCTGGGGCCCTCCCCGGAGTCCTTATGCCCCGACTCTCATTTCCAGTTTTATGAAAAGCACCACCATTACTTCCACAAGCGGCTTTGCCACCCCTGGTGGCTGAGTGGCTCCAGAGGGCGCAGCCCCGCAGGGGTGAGGCTCAGCTCTCCCCCAGGCTGGCCCCGCCTCCTGCGCAGGCAGGGCTCCAAAAGCAGCAAACCCCTCAGGGGCTCCAGGGGCTCCACGCTGCCACTCAAGTATCTACGCTTTAAATAAAACGGGAAGAAAGCCCTGTGCCCAGAAGGCAGACGCCATCCCTTGAGGCTCCCCGGGGCCAACACCTGTGCGGCCCAGCCAGCTGAGCGGGCTCGCACCTCCCCAAGCTTTCCGGTCGGGCCTGGGCCTGGGACAGCTGGCGCCCACGGGGGGAGTCTTTCCCACCCCAGCAAGGCCGCGGCTTTGGGCCTGCGGGCCACTGAGCCAATGGCAGGCCTTTCAATGAGGAGTGAGGAGTGGTGCTTTCTGGCTTTGGACCCGAAATGGTTCTCAGAGGCACAAAGCAGGTGCCTCAGAACGTAACTGGACGGGGACAGGGTCTGTAAGGAGGTGGCTGAGGTTACAGAGGGCACCCGTGCTGGTATAATCCAGGGACAAGCAGGGAGACAGGACAAAGACGGCCATGGAAGGTCGAGCATAAGAGGCGGAGAGAAGACAGCACGTGCAGGCCAGGGAGACAGGCGTGGGCAGGACCTCCTGAGAGTCTCCTGAGATACGGAGACTGCCCTGGGCCTCAGGGTAACCCAGCGCTCGGGGGACAGAAAGCGGGGACCAGAGTAGCAGCGGAGGACTCCACCTCCCTGCCCTCCCCGACTCCTCCACAGCGGGGGACATGAGAGGGAGCCCTTTGCCCTGAAATCCTTGTTGTGCTGTGAGGTGCGTCGCAAAGGGCCACACCTGCCGTCTGCCTGGGGGAGGGGGCACCGTCCAGGGTCACAGGAGGATGCTGACCAAGCACCCTGCCCATCACATCCTGGGCTCAGAGAGCCACTCCCTGGGAGCTTGTGCGCTGAACACTAACGGCTACTCTTTTCTGCCCTCCTTTGTTTCATGTTCCATTGAAAAAAGACATGGGGGCCGGCCTTGGGGCATCACAGGTTAAGCCTCCACCTGTGGTGCTAACACCCAAAGTGGGCGCTGGTTTAGGTCCCGGCTGCTCCACTTCTGACCCAGCTCCCTGCTAATGCGCCTGGGAAAGCAGTAGAAGATGGCCCAAGTGCTGGGGTCCCTGCACCCACGTGGGAGACCCAGAAGCAGCTCCTGGCTCCTGGCTTCAGATTGGCCCAGCCCCAGCCATTGTGGCCATTTGGGGAGTGAACCAGCAGATGGAAGACCTCTCTCTGTCTCTCCCTCTCTCTGTCTGCAACTCTGTCTCTCAAATAAAAAGAAAAAAGACATGAAAATCAGGAATGGAAACCAAAGTCCTCCTGCACGCGAGGACAATGACAAAAGATTGTTCTAGAAATTCAGACTTCACTGAAAATTGCATACAAATCTCATCCCATCAGATGACTCCCTGCTCCAATGAAAAGCCACTTGAAATAACCGAACCTCCAAAACGGTGGCCCACGGCTCTGCAGCAACGTTTAAAAATACCACATATGCCAGGCGTCACGATTCAGCTCCTCAGAACCTGCCCCGAGAGCTTTTAATAAGCAAAGCACTAAAACCTCACAGGAAAGGAAAGGTCGCCCCCACCCTCGCCCCAGCCCTTCCCCTGGCACAGCGGAGGGCACAGGGACTCGGCGGGCTGGGCCGAGTCTGTTCTGTCTGGTTCACAGGTCCTGGTGCAGGTGCCTGAGCCCAGGGGAGCGTGGCTCTGGCCAGCTCATGTCCTGCTCCCCAGGGGAACCCAGGGGTATCTGGAAGAACCTGGAAGCACAGGGCTAAGCCCCAGAGATCTGGGGGCTGTGCAGCAGTAGCTTGTGTTGCCGTGACAAATAGGCAACCTGGGGGTGGGCGTTCAGCACAGCAGTTAGGACTTCACTTCCGCTTTCAGGAAGGCTAGCGTTCTGGGTCAGGGGTGCAACGCAGCAGCTTAAGCTCCTGCTTTCAATGCCAGCATCCCACATCGGGGCTGTTCGAGTCCTGGCTGCTCCACTCCCAATCCAGCTCCCTGCTGACACCCAGGAAGGCGGCGGAGGATGGCTCAGGTTCCTGTGCACCAGAACCCACGTGGGAGACCTGGAGGAAGCTCCTGGCTCCTGGCTTCAGCCTGACCCAGCCCTGGATGCAATGGCCCTTTGGAGAGTGAACCAGCGGATGGAAGACCTCTCTCAGTTTCTCCTTCTTTATCTCTGTAGCTCTACCTTTCAAATTAACAATTTTTTTTTTTTTTTAAATCAGGTAAAGGTGTTTTTTTCCCTCCGTGTGCAGGTTAAAAGGGACCCTGTTGGGCCTGCACCATGGCTCACTTGGCTAATCCTCCACCTATGGCACCGGCACCCCAGGTTCTAGTCCTGGTTGGGGTGCTGGGTACTAGTCCCGGTCGCTCCTCTTCCAGTCCAGCTCTCTGCTGTGGCCCGGGGAGGGCAGTGGAGGATGGCCCAAGTGCTTGGGTCCCTGCACCCACATGGGAGACCAGGAGGAAGCACCTGGCTCCAGGCTTCGGATTGGCGTAGCGTGCCGGCCGTAGCGGCCATTAGGGGAGTGAACCAATGGAAGGAAGACCTTTTTCTCTGTCTAACTCTCTCTCTCTCTAACTCTGCCTGGCCAAAAAAACAAAAGGGACCCTGTTTATGATCACCTAGCCTAAAAGGTGGGACCAGTCATCACCCTAATTCTATGCTCCCAGGCTGCAGTGGGAGGGGTCCTCACTCTGACTCTGTTGGTCACTCAAGAGTGAGAAAGAGAGCAGAGTAGGTGAGGAAGAACAAAATACACCAGGTTTGAGATTCACATGTGGGATGAATGTTGGGTGTGGTTACGTCACACCGAACTGACGGGAAGCAAACACAATAGACGCCACCAACAAGCTCAGAAGGGAATGGAGTTCACCCAGACTAAAAAGCTTTTGCCTGTTCCACCTCCAAAGTAAACTCTGGGTCCCACACTTAGCTGAGCAGAAGGTGGGCTGTGAGCCCCACTCCCCAGCACCCACGTCCATGGAGGCCATGAACATAAAGGACAGGAAGGGCCTTGCAGGTGGCAGGGCCAGGGGCCCCAGACATTCCCCCGGCCTGAGGCCCTGGAAGGACTCCTCATGTGCGGAGGACGCACATGACCCAAGATGCCGCTGAGACTTCATGGAGTCACCCTTGAGGGGGGCGTGGCTCCGCGGTGTGCAGAAGCAACAAGGATTTGGTGACTGGAGGAGGACCAGGCAGGGACGACTAACCAGCAGCCCCACTTCCCAGCCTCCTTTGCAGGGACTAGGAAACACCTCTGCCGCCCTAGCTGTCTTGGCATGAGTAGCAGGGCTACCTGCTGCTCATCCATGAGCTGCCCTGCTCTGGCCCCTCCCGAAGTGACCGCAAAGCTTGGGGCCGGCACTGTGGCGCAGTGGGTTAAAGCCCTGAAGCGCCAGCATCCCAAATGGGCGCCGGTTCGAGTCTCAGCTTCTCCTCTTCTGATCCAGCTCTTGGCTATGGCCTGGGAAAGCAGTAGAAGATGGCCCAAGTCCTTGGACCCTCCCTGTGGGAGACCGGGAAGAAGCTCCTGGCTCCTGGCTTCAGATCGGCACAGCTCCGGCCGTTGCAGCCAGTTGGGGAGTCAACCAGCAGATGGAAGACCTCTCTCTGTCTCTACCTCTCTCTGTAACTGTCTTTCAAATAAACAAAGTAAATCTTTAAAAAAAAAAAAAAAAAAGATATAGGAGCCTTAGCACTCCAGGGCCTGGAGCTCTGCCCCCACGAGAAAACCCTGACCTTCCTGAGCAGGAAGCACCCCCAGGGAACGACAGACTGGGATTCCAGCCCCGTGACCGCCACTGACACTCAGCAGCTCCAGAGGGCCGTGGGGAGCCCGCATCAGGCCCCCAGCGTGGTGAGGGAAGAGGCTCCGTGCGGCCCAGCCAAGCACAGAACTCTTTTTGGTGCCCGTGGGTTGTGCCATCACTCAGCTCAGCCACCCACTGGCTCCCTGTCTCCATCACCTGTTTCCAGCCCAGGAAACGGAGGCACAGGGAGGTTCCGTCCCCACTGAAGCTGCACAGCTGGGATCCAAACCCACGCAGCCCAGCCTTCCAGAACCTGCCTCCTCCCCGACACCACACTCCACACCTCCCCCCACCCCCCTGCCCCCGACCTGTACTGATGGGAAGAGGACGCTGGGCCTGGCCAGGTGGGGCAGCAGGGAGAGCTCCAGGCCCATGGCTGAGCTCCAGCGGCCAGCGCACTGTCAGCGACCGCTGAGGGCGGACCTGCCTGGGGACAGGCTGGAGCACTGCTGACAGCTTCAGGGTGGACTGGCCAGCAGGGAGCAGACAGTCATAGCCCCAGCAGTCCTCCCTTGGTTAAAGCTGCGGGCAGCTGACAACCTCGAAAAGCAGGGGAAAGTGCCTTTTAAAGCACTTGCGGGCTCCCTGTGGGGTCACCAGAGTGAGGTTGCTGGGCAACCATCTGACATCTGGTTGTGGTGTCAGACATGGGGACTTGGGACCCAAAAGCCCGGGCGGTGGGGGGCAGAGACCAAGGCCGCTGGGCCAGTGTAGGAGGGAGGTGTAGGCCCAGCTGAGCCGAGGACCCCTGCTGAGAGAGGTCCAGGCTGCCTCGCCCAGCCCATGCAGCCGGGCTGGCACGCGGGAGTCGGGAGCATCTGTCGCTGGAGTCCGACCCCCACGCGGGAGTCGGGAGCGTCTGTCGCTGAAGTCGGACCCCCACGTGGGAGTCGGGAGCGTCTGTCGCTGGAGTCCGACCCCCACGCGGGAGTCGGGAGCGTCTGTCGCTGGAGTCGGACCCCCACGCGGGAGTCGGGAGCGTCTGTCGCTGAAGTCAGACCCCCACGCGGGAGTCGGGAGCGTCTGTCGCTGGAGTCCGACCCCCACGCGGGAGTCGGGAGCGTCTGTCGCTGGAGTCGGACCCCCACGTCACCAGCAGTCACCTGGGTTGAGGACAGGCTGGACGATGTCCCCGTTCCGCCACTTGGTCTCCATGCGCTCCAGTTTCTGGGCTTCGTACCGCTTCCGGCCTTCCTCCTCCTGCTCCTGCCGGGAATACTGTGGAACGCGGAGAGAGTTAGGCCCGCGGCGGGGACGCGGCCTCCCCCAGCGCCGGGCCCAGGGCTGCAGACTCATGCCCGCCTAGCGTTCTGCGGCTGCAGCGATCCATCATGCTGCCTCGCAACACCTATGTCAGAGGCAGAGAGAAGACGAGCAGCTAACGCTCACACAGCCCCGCTCCCCGGGACAACAAGGCCAAGTGTTTGCTCCAGACCCTTCCTGGGTTGCCGGATTGCCTGTGCGGGGTTTTCAAAAGTTTGTGAAAACTGCACACCAGGAAAAAACTATGGGTGGCTTTCAAATTGTTTTTGCACCAAAAAACCTCCTTGAACTGTGCTTTTCCACACTTTCTGAAGGGCCCTCCTGTGGATGCACACAAAGGCCTCTCCCCTCTCTGTGGCACCTCAAAGCCAGCCTCTCATTGTTTCACTGTATCCACGTGACATCGTTTACGTAACCACACAAGGGCACACGGTCCCCAATCTCACACTGACAAGCCTCAGCCACTTCTCCTCTTCCCAGCTGCCCATTCCTTCCTGGGATTCCTTCCTGGTCACAAAACCGCAGAGCCCGGGGCCATGGGAGAACATAGTCCCCGCGCCCCAGCCCTGGCCGGCCTGCTGCACCGGCCCTCAGCTGTACCTTCACAGGGAAGGTGGCCGAGGCTAGAACAGACCCCTGACGCCGTAACGAGCGAAGTTCAGACCCAGGAAGTTGACAGCGAACGTGAATCTGGCGTAAACACCTGGCGTAAACACCGAGGCTCCTGAGTCCGGGCCACAGGAACAGTGCCGGGTTTCTCTGACCTTAGGCCCCTCCAGCCCACGTAAGGGCTCTCTACACGCCCAGAGCAGGACCGTGCGCGGCTCCAGGCCGGCTCTCGGGCCTCTTTGCCGCCCACTGCCTGGCGTTCCCCTCCCCCTTTGTCCACTCGGCCGCCATTTCCAGCTGAACCTGCAGGAAGGCCACAGAACTCAGAGCCCCGTGGGCTCCACTCTGTCCTGCAGAAGCCCCTCTGGCCGAGCAACTCCATTTCCAGGGCAGAGTTAAGCCTTCTCTCAAAACCACTCTCAGGGCCAACGCTGTGGCGGAGCGGGTAAAGCCGCCGTCTGCAGTGCCAGCATCCCACATGGGCGCCAGTTTGTCTCAGCTGCTCCACTTCCAGTCCAGCTCCCTGCTATGGCCTGGGAAAGTAGTGGAAGATGGCCCAAGTCCTTGGGCCCCTGCACCCGCATGGGAGACCTGGAAGAAGCTCCTGGCTCCTGGCTTTGGATTGGCACAGCTCTGGCTATTGTGGCCATCTGGGGAGTGAACAAATGGATGGAAGACCTCTCTGTCTGCCTCTGCCTCTCTGTAACTCTGCCTTTCAAATAACTAAATATTTTTAAAAACCAAAAATAAAAACGCTGTGAAACGCCTTGATCTCCCTGCTCACGGCCCAGCTGCAAAGCTGCACGGGGCGGATGGCGTCCCCGGGCTCAGCCACTGTCCTCTCCGGCGGGACAGCCCATCTCCACAGAGGCTGAGAAGGGAGCTACCTCCCGATGCTCCACGGCCCAAGGTCACGCCCCTCGGAGCAGAAGCTGCCCATTTCTGTGTCCTCAAGAAGTGCCCTTGAAAGAGATCTAACACAACAAAAAAGAGCCAGTCCCCAGAGCAGTCAGCCCTCAGGCAGCGGCCCAGCCCTGGACACGTGCCCCAGGATGCAGGAACCTAGCCCCTGGGAACCCAGCCATGGGAACATTAACCAAGGCCGGCTCCTGACTCGCCTGAGAGGCCACCAGACCCGGCCGATCTGAAGCAGCAGAGTGGCCCAAACTCTCAGCCCAAGTGCACATTCGGTCATTTGGAACAAGCCCACGTGTCCATTTTCCAATGGCCACTGCTGATTCTCCCAGGCTGTGACTGCTCCACCAGCAGCCAGGTGGCCTCTTTCGCCCACCTAAGGGCCACTGAGGAAAGCACCGCCCCCTGCCCGGCTGGAGAGGAAGCTGAGACAAGGAGACAGTCAGACCTGTGTGCACCGCGCACGGCCAGTGCTGGGCTTCCTCCAGGAACCCAGGTGTGCACGCGTGTGTCTGCATGTGCAAGTGCTTGTGCATCTGTGAGCGCGTGCATGCGTCTGCGTGTATGGGCACATGTGTGTGTGTGTCTGTGTGCTCCTGTGTCTGCGTCTGTGTAAGCATCCGCGTGTGTGTGTGTGTGTCTGTGTGCTCCTGTGTCTGCGTCTGTGTAAGCATCCGCGTGTGTGTGTGTGTGTCTGTGTCTGCGTCTGTGTAAGCATCCGTGTGTGTGTGTGTGTGTGTGTCTGTGTGCTCCTGTGTCTGCGTCTGTGTAAGCATCCGCGTGTGTGTGTGTGTGTCTGTGTGCGTGGCTCTGTGTACATGTGTGTGTCTCTGTGAGTGCAGACACACATACAGGGAGAGGACTTCACAAAGGTCTCTGGAAAATGGAATTTAAAACTACGTCTATTTGGAGGCAAAAAACTTGAACTCCGTGCACAGATTTTCAGCACGCACATTTCACATTTTCTGTGAACTTTCGCAAGAGCCCACATACGTGAGATGTACATTTTCCTGCCCAAATGGCACTCGCCATGGCAGGGTGGCAGGAGACTCCCAGCGGCTGAGCACAGACGTCAGTCACCGCCAGGGAGGAGCTGCGCCTTCCGGGATCCCCACGGCGGCCCCAGCTGGGGGCTGCCAGGGAGGACAGCCGGCCCAGGTTCCCGGTCAACCTGACGTCTGCGCTCCGTGGGCCTAGCACGGATGGGGAAGGAAGCGCGAATAAACCACAGGCTGTGCCGGGCGCATGAGCTTCTCTGCGGCCAGCAACCTTGGCCTTGGGCGCGGGGAACGGCTCCGATGCACCCCTCCAGGAGCAAGTTGATTCCACGCCTCATCGAGCCGGCTGCACAGGGGAACAGGGAACCCCTGGAGGCTCTGCCGGGATGCAGGCGGACGTGCTCACCACTAGGCAAGGACAGCCAGGGAATCTGAGCCACCCACCCCTCTCCACTGGCCAAAGACCCCACAGCTCTCGGTCCCGATGGCAGACAGGCAGCCACAGCTACTGTGTGTGGCCCAGGAGCCCTGCCTTGGTCTCCTCCCTTAAGAAGGGCCAGGGGATGCTCCAGACACAGGGCCTGGTAGAGTTCTTAGAATTCTGTAGCATCCGATAGTTACATCAGGGAAAGCATTATATTTTAGTATTTACTAGGCACTTAGAGGGAAAGGTGGAAGTGGGGGTCATACTCTGGTAATTTTGAAAGAGATCAGTCACTGTGCCTCTGACTTACCCCTATTTTGAGAAGCTGGGAGCACCCCAGGTGGAACCAGGGCACCGGGGCACATGCACTAAACCCAGGGAGTGGGTGCCAGGCTGAAGAGCGTGCCCTCCACATCAGTCTCCACCTGGAGCCTCAATGGGACACTGTAGGAATTAAGGTCTTTGTAGCTGTCACTGGCTAAGACGAGGTCACACGGGGTGGCACTGGCCCTAATCCAGCGGCTGGTGTCCTTATCAGAAGACACAACAGAGGAGAGGCCGTGTGACACAGAGCACCTGCAGCCACCCGAGGCCGGGAGAGGCCAGGAGGGAGCCGCCCCAGGGCTTCAGAGGCGCAGCCCTGCCCCCACCTTCATGGGACGGCCACCCAGTCTACGCCCAGGACACCGAGACGGGGAGCCGGGTGGGGACCCTGGAACGCCACACTGGGCCCCCAGCTCCTACGCACCCTCCTGCCCTGCGGGCGGTGGATTCCCCTGATGCTGAGCCGGCAGTGGCAGGGCCACCGCCCTGCTCCACGGCATCAAACGAGGCAAGCGGCAACCCCGCCAGTCCAGGGGCCAATCGCCCTTCACGGCAAACACCAAGCAGGCTCCTGCTCTGTGTTTAAAAACATCTAGAGCAGACAACGGCCGGGCCCGGCGGCCAGTGCCTCACCCCCCACCCCTCCCAGGGGTCTCAGACAGACAGACGGAGCCGGGGGCACGGGGAGCCAACAGGAAGCCAGCCTCGGAGTCAGTCAGCCAGTCTCATGGTCTTAGAGGGGCGGTGGCTACAGGGAACAGGTCCCTTCAGCCTCAGTGACACAGGGCCTCCACCAAGGCCAGCAGATGGGAGACAGAGCCTACGCCTGGCCTTGGGGCAGGCGCATGCACCTCGTAAACCCAGAGAGGAGCCCGAGGACCGTGCGTGCCAGGAGCACTCAGCTCCCTCGCAATCTGTGAGTATACAGAGCAGGCACCGTTCCTGAGACCCGCTCCCACTTCATCATCTCTAAAACCGTTCTCTGTGTATCCCAAGGCAGGAAAATTCTCCCAGCCAGGCAGACACTGCTGAGCTGCGGCCTCTGGCCCCCGCTAAGGCGGGCCTGTCCTGGTAGGGCAGGGCAGGCCGCACAGACCCTCAGACGCGGCCGCAGTCACAGCTGTCCTTGGAATCCTGTGGGGCTTGGGGGTACGGGAGGAGCAGGTGAGGGGGCTGAAGGAATGAGTTCAACCCCCTTTCCCAAGCACCTGCCCCCACGGGTCTGCCAGGGCCCAGGAAGGAGCTCAGGAGACCCCCCTGGCCAGTCCAGCCCGAGGAGGAAGCAGATGCCGGCAGGGGACCAGGCTCAGACTCAGCCGCTGCTGCGCCAGGAGCCAAGACGACAACAGCTCTCAGGAGCTGGGCCCTGCAGCCTGGTGGCCCAGCTCTCGGCTAAAGGACTTGTCACCTGTCAGGGACTGTGACATGCAGGTCCTCTGGGCTGGACAACGTCCCTGACCACAAGTTTGGGGACACTCACATGCCCAGCATGAATCAAACATGCACTAAAGGACCACACTGAGACACCTCCTGCCTCCCCACTGTGTACAGAGTGCCCCACCCTCCAGGGCCCCGCCCTCCAGGGCCCCACCCAGCCCAGGGGCCCCGCCCTCCAGGGCCCCACCCAGCCCAGAGGCCCCGCCCTCCAGGGCCCCACCCATCCCAGGGGCCCCGCCCTCCAGGGCCCCACCCAGCCCAGGGGCCCGCCCTCCAGGGCCCCGCCCAGCCCAGAGGCCCCGCCCTCCAGGGCCCTGCCCAGCCCAGGGGCCCGCCCTCCAGGGCCCTGCCCAGCCGTTTCCCGGATGGCTCCTTAGGTGAATGCAGCACCTGCCATCACACCTGGGGCCCCAGCCTCTGCCCTCTGCCCCCGAGAGAAAAGTGAACGGGGTGGGAGGCGTCACCTTACCACGACAGGGGGCACCTCGAGGACCTTGTCCACATTCTTCAGTGACAGGGGGACATACCACAGGGTGGCCTTATTGGTCAGCTTCTTGGTACCTGGAGAGAGGAAGCCACATGAGCAGGCACCACTAGGCACCAGTGGCCCCAACCCCACCGCCCCCAAACTTGCTCACCTCATACCACCGCCTCTGGTCCCCTCCCCCAAGGCCACTTAGCCCTGTGGCCTGGGGTCACTACCATTGTATCACTGTGGACATAGACTAGGGTCCATGAGCCCATGGGGGGGTCCCCTCTAGCCCCTGGAAACCCCTTCCCCAACCTGGCAGGAGCTTGGGCTCTGTCTTCCCCAGCCACCCACTCTGAGGCGTGGCTGACACTTCCCAAGGCTGCTGGAAGGACTCAGGCCACGCAGCTGCAGCCTGGGCGGAGCTGGGGCTGCTAAGCTTCCTATCAGCGTCCACCTGCTATCTCAACAGGGGGGAGTCTGGCCACCGACAAGCCTCCCAGCAGTAGGGTGAGGGGCACAGGGCTGAGCCTGCACCTCTTGCTGGCCCCAGACCCCACTAGCAGCTCATGCTGACACCAAACGCCATGCAGGGGCACTGACAGGCCTCACGCTCAGACCACTTGTCTAGACACCATCAGGAACTCCCAGCAGACAGGCAACCCACGCAGACACGTGACCCACGCAGACACGCGACCCACAGACACGCGACCCACAGACACGTGACCCACGCAGACACGTCACCCACGCAGACACATCACCCACACAGACACGTGGCCCACAGACACGTGACCCACGCAGACACATGGCCCACACAGACACGTCACCCACGCAGACATGTCACCTACACAGACACGTGGCCCATAGACACGTGGCCCACAGACACGTGACCCACGCAGACACGTGGCCCACACAGACACATGGCCCATGCAGACACACGACCCATGCAGACACGTCACCCACGCAGACACATCACCCACACAGACACGTGGCCCACAGACACGTGACCCACGCAGACACACGACCCACAGACATGTGACCCATGCAGACACATGACGACCCACGCAGACACGTGGCCCACTCAGACACATGACCCACGCAGACCCATGACCCACGCAGACACGTCACCCACACAGACACGTGACCCATGCAGACACGTGGCCCACGCAGACACATGGCCCATGCAGACACATGACCACGCAGACACGTGGCCCACACAGACACGTGGCCCACATAGACGTGCACCTGCAGAGGCTCGTGAGGCTGTGCCCAGGCAGAATGGCCCAAAGGAGAGGGGACGGCCGGGCAAGCCCGGCCCCAGCACACAGCCATGGAGTCGGCACACCACAGCCCCTGTTTTGCCACCCCAGGAATGTCCTCAGTGCCCTTTCACCCAGACTCCTGGATTTTCTGTTGGACAACTCACGGCTCCAGTTCATAAGCCTCTGAGTGCCAAGAGGTGGACTGTGGGGTCTGCTGACTCCCTGGGGCACGGCACCCAGCCACAGAGCAGTGAGGCTGCCCTGCAGGGAGACAGATCGTGGGGCCCTGACGCTCACTTGTACAGGAGGCGCCTGAAGCCCAGAGAGTCAACCCACTGCCCGGGGTCACATTCTTAGACCAGACCCGGGCCTCTCAGGCCCCAGCCATTTCAGAGAAGTGCTTACGAGGAAGTTTTAATTTTACTTTTTTATTTTCATTTTATTTAAAAGGCAGAGAGACAGAAAGATGCTCCACCCCCTGGTTCACTCCTCAAATGCCTGCAGCAGCCTGGAGCTGTCAGGCCTCCTACGTGGGGCAGGACCCCAACTCCTCGAGCCATCCCTGCTGCCTCCCAGGGTGCGTGTTAGCAGGAAGCTGGACGGGGAGCAGTGGCCAGGGCAGCCACCGGGCATTCCGACACGGGACGCAGGGTCCCAAGCAGCGACTTCAGCGGCTGCACCAAACGCCCAGCCCTTGTGAGGACGCTTTTAGAAGTGGCTCCTTCGACACAGAGTCGCAGTGTGGGGCAGGACAGTGGCACTGCAGGAAACAGCAGAGCGCAAGGCAGCGAAGGCAGGGGGCAGGACCCCTCCCTGCACCCTGGTGGAACTCGCTCCCCTCCGCTCACTCAGAGCCCCGGGCTCCAGGTCAGGCCCAGGCCAAGTGCAGGCCGCCTGCCCCACACCTGCCGGGACCCAGCCGCTCTACCAGGGCAGGGAACCACGGGCAAACACAGGCAACTATTTCCCTGCACTTTGACTGAGAGTGAATCTGACAAGCTGCTTTTGGGAATAAAGATTTCCTGTTGGCCTCAGCCAGGGCCGCCTGACAGCAGGTTTCCATGGAAACGCGAGCGGCCCTCCAGACCTAAATGAACGCCGTGGAGCAGGAGGCGCACGCGCGAACTGCACTTCCCCACCGCTGAGTGAAACCGGCTGCAGCAACTCCGGCACCAAACCCTCCCCGAAATCCACGAGCTTCCAGGGCTTCCTGGAGCAGCTCACAGCACTCACGGCCCAGCTAGCCTAAGACGTGGACAGTGGACAGTGGCAGGAGACGAATGAGCGGCTCCAGGCAGCGCTTTGCGGTGTCCGCCCTCACGACAGGCGGCTCGGCCCAGATCGCGGGACACAGAACCCCGAGTGCGTCTCTGTCCCTCCAGCCTCAGTCGCCCCGCCATCAGAGGTCACTCATCTGTCAGCCAGGGTTTGCCGGGTGCCCACTGTGTGCCAGGCTCAGCTCTTGGCATTGGGGGTACTGCGTGGGCCAGGTGGCCACCAACCAGGCTTTCAAGGGAACCCACGAGCAGAAAGAGACACACGAGGGCAGAGAGAAGGGCCTGGGGGAGCCACAGAGCCCGGCCCAGAGCAGAGGTGGAGGTGAGCGGAGGCGAGGAGAGGAGCGGAGGGGAGAGTCCACCCATCACAGACTGGAGGGCGGGGCACTTGGCTCAGCACTTGGAACGCCCACCCCATCCTGCAGTGCCCCTGGGAGGCAGCAGGTGCTGGCCCAAGTACTTGGGTCCCTACTTCCTACATGGAAGATGCACATGGAGCTCCTGGCTCGGGGCTTCAGCTGGCCCGGCCCTGGCTGCTGCGGTGACCGAGGAGCGAACCAGTGGGTGGGAGATCTCTGTCTCCGCCTTTCAAACGAAATGGGAATGATTTTAAAAAAGAGGCCGGCGCCGCGGCTCACTGGGTTAATCCTCTGCCTGCGGTGCTGGCACACCGGGTTCTAGTCCCGGTCGGGGCGCCGGATTCTGTCCCGGTTGCCCCTCTTCCAGGCCAGCTCTCTGCTGTGGCCTGGGAGGGCAGTGGAGGATGGCCCAAGTGCTTGGGCCCTGCACCCCATGGGAGACCAGGAGAAGCACCTGGCTCCTGCCATCGGATCAGCATGGTGCGCCGGCCGCGGCGGCCATTGGAGGGTGAACCAATGGCAAAGAAAGACCTTTCTGTCTCTCTCTCACTGTCCACTCTGCCTGTCAAAAAAAAATTTTTTTTTTAAAAAGACAAGAAACAGGTGTACAGCCCTACAGTTGTGGGCCCTGGGGCAAGATGACCAAGAAATGGAGAACAGCCACAGCAGGGCTCCAAGTCCCGCAGGGCAGAGGCCTCACGGCCCTCGGCCTCGGGCTGAGGCCGCGCCTTGCTGGCCAGGTGCTCGCCTTCTTGGGTAACGAAGCCCTCGCCTAAGTCCCAGGAGGGTGAACGGCTGCAGCAGTCACAGCACCAGCTCTGTCCCCCAAGGCCGGCCCTCTCGCGCTGGGCAGGCAAGGGGAGAGAGGAGGCCGTGGGCTGCGACCGGTGGCGGTGGGGGCAGCGGAGCCAAGACGGCCAGGCCGAGAGCTGCTCCGAGCCTCCTGCAGACGCAGGCCCTGGTGAGAGCCTCCTGCCTCGAGGGCCACTCTTGCCTCCCGAGCAGAGGGGTGCCTCAGTGGGGCAGCTCCTGCTGTCTGGTCCAACCCCGCCTGGGATCCGCGCCCGGCACGGGAGCCCAGCTCCTCCTGGCGGCCTCACTCACTCTCACCGCTGCCAGGAGGCAGCAGTTCAGGACCTGGCTTTGGGAACCTCAACCTTGGCACCACTGACCTCGGGGCTGGACGGCTCCCTGCTGGGGACCCGCCCTCAAAGTCCGCGGCTGCTGCCCTGTCTCCCTGCCTGCCCCACCCTGCGCAGTGCAGACGCCGTGTGCCTGCCAGGCTCCTCGCCTTCTCTGAGCTCTCCCACGCCAGCAAGGGGCTTCCACGCCGGGCAACCAGCAAAGCGGACCCTTCCCCCCAGCTGAAATGGCGATCAACAAACACACACGAAAATCCAGAGCTGCACAGAGAGCAGCAGCCTCCCCTCTTCTGCAGGCTGAGCCGTACGGTGCACAGGACGGGGGCCCCCGCGCCGGGCCTGCCCCAGTGATGGGCCCGTCCCGATGAGCAAGAGCAAAGCCATGGGATGCGGCAAGGTCCCTGTGGCGCGGGAGGCACCTGCCACGTACCTGGCTCTGGCCATGGACCCGCAGAGACGGGCGTGCCAATCGCCCTCCACCCCAGGCCCTGCTCAGCTACCCGGCCTAATCGCCCACCCTGGGAGGTCAGTGAATGTTCCAGACGGATAACCGTGTCCCGGGCCCATCAGGGACAAGGAAACTCAAGCCCCTGTGGGTTGAGGTGGCAGCGAGGGTGGCGGGCGCAGCAGAGGCTGCCTCCCTGTGCCCAGGCAGGTTATAAAAAGAAGCGTGTGAGCCAGTGAGGACAAGCCTGGCTCTCCTGCGGCGCTGAGTGGGAAGAAAGCGTTTCCATGGTTACCATGGCCAAGGAGGCGAAGGTTCAGATGAATCTGGAGGCAAAGTTTGGCCCAGTGAGCTTCACGCTAGGCCTGGGGGTTGCCGGGGGTCGCTGGGGGCCCAGGGCGGCCCTCCCAGCACAGGCAGCATCCTCTACAGGGAGAATACCTCCGTGGCCTCCAGACGGTGAGCAGGCCCAGGTGAGACGGCACTGGGCCAGAGTGCAAGTTACACGCCCGGACAGCTCCCAGCCCTGCCGCAGATGAGCTGGCCCGGGAAGGCAGGCAGTTAGTTTCGCACTCAGGGCCGGGGCTGACGGGCAGAGCTTGAATCCTGCTCTGGGAGTACGACCTTGGCTCATGGTCTGCAGAATGGCGGTACAGGGGTATCTGCTCACAGGGGACAACAGGCGTTGGGGAGGCCACCCTACGGCGCTCCGTGCCATGGCCCCAGCCAAGCCAGCTCAGCGAGAAGCACCGGAAGTTACCTGTGAGGATGTTTTCGGACATCACGTTCACCTGGACTTCCACCGAGTGCTTGGACGTGTAGGTGATCTCCGCGCTGACGTGGGCCACCTCGCCGATGCACATGGGTGACAGGAAGTCGGTGCGCTCCACCCGGGCCAGGGCAGCCACACAGCGCTCCTGTGAAGACCAGAGGCACGGTCAGCCCCACCCAGAGATGCACCCGCATTCTGCTCTGACCCCCCGGCGAATCAGGGCAAGTCCTCGACAGCCCAGGGTCAAGAGCGCCGGTGAGCTCCACGGCGGGTGCCAAGCGGGGTGGGGGTGGGCTGTGCTCTGGGCGGCAGGCTCTGTCCGGTTTCTAATCCTTCTGTAATACACGTGTGTCATGTGTGTGACCACACAGTCACCGTGGGAGTCCTGGGAGGGAGGGAGGGAGAGGAGAGCGGACAGGGAGGGAGCGTCACGCCTCCCGTCCAGAGACAGCTCAGTGCCTCTCGGATCCTTCTTTCCAGGCTTTCTCCTAAGAACAGGAGTTTTGTCGGCTCATTTGTTCACTTGCCCGGCTCCGTATTTCACAGCTTTAGTCTTGAATGTTTGTGCAAAAGCTAAATATACCCGTTCTCATCCTGATTTTCACTCCACACAGGAAAAATAGCCTGCCGCGCGACACGCTCCGTGCAAGCGCTGCTCCACTTTCCAGTCTAAACCTGATTTATCCTTCAAGACGGTGACCCCTTCTTCTGATTCAAAATTCAAAAGGCACCAAAGATCTGCCTCTGGTCACCTTGTCCCAGGTGGCCAGCTCCCGGCGTCCCATCAGACCACACGGGGGCACTGGGGCTTCCCGCGTGGTGGGCGCGCCACACTCTGCCTCCCTCTCTCTGCTTCGCTTGTGCTATCCAGGCTGCTTGGAGGAAACACCGTGAACTTGGCTATGAACTTGGCCATGAACTCGCTGGCTTACAAGCAACAGAAGTTTACCTCCCATGGCTTTGGAGGCCGAGAAGCCCAAGATGAAGGTGCTGGTAGGTCGGGGGTCTGGGCGGGCCCATCCCCGGCTCACGATGGGCACCTGCACGTGCCTCGCTTGGCAGATGAGGCCAGACTGCTCTCTGGGTCTCTTCCCACGAGAGTACCAGTCCCACCTGCGAAGCTCCCGCATGCCCTTGTCACCCGCTAAGGCCCTGACACCATCGCACTGGGGCTCAGCACCCCAACCTACACGTGGAGTGACACCAATGGCCCCTGGACTTCCCTCACCTTTCTCTCTGCTTCCCTTGCGTGACGCGTCATTGCAAAGTTGAGCAACACACGGGACAGTCTTGTGTTTGAGACTGGGAAGTGTGGGCCTTCATGTCCTAATGGAGCACTGACCACTCTCACAACTTCCTGATGGAAACCGCCCTCCTGCTCATTGGCAGCAAGAGACCAGGGCATTCCTGGCTACCCCTGCACTGGGCGGGGAGCACGGGGGGCCCGGGGGCCCGTGACGACTCTGGCGTCAGGTTCATGCTCACAGCACTGTCACCGGGCTGAGAGGTGAGACACGCTGCCCGCGGTCATCACACAGAGCTGGGGCGGTCATCACAAACCTGGTGTGGGGGTCCCTGCTCTCCCACCTGGCTCTGGAAAAACACGCACATTCCCAGTCAACCCCCCAAACCCAGAGCCTGCTTCCTGGGGGGATGGCTGGGGACCCCCTTCCTAACCTTCTCCCAGGGAAGTCTCAGGGCTCAGGGCTCCTGTGATGGCCAGAGACAGGCCTCAGTGAGGCAACAGGGGCTGTCCAGGGTGAAGCTGGCCAGGGCGGCCTGTGCCTCCCTCACTTATTCCCCACCCCCACCCCGCCCGACCCCAGCAAGTGACACTCCAGCAGGGGCAGGACCGGACTGTCACTCCCACAGAAACCTGCGGGGCTCTGGCACCACCCACTGGCAGAAGTGGGAAAGGCAGGAGCGCCCTGGAGCCAGGCAGACAAGGGGGCGGGCCTGTGGGCTGCTGTTCACTGCTCGCCGCCGCGGCTTGACTGGCAGTGGCGGCCTGGCACTCAGTCCTGCAGCTTGTCTCTGGGGCCACCTCCACACTTCCAGAGGGACCTCAGCCTGGGGAGGCGGAGCTTGACACACTGGGCGGTCACGGGACCGGGTTCTGGGGGATCCTGGGGGGTTCTGAGAGGCCCGGGTGAGCCGCATGCCAACAAGGCAATGGCTCTGCAGACCTTGCAAGGAAGGGGCTGGGGTGGGGGGAGACGCTGAGCTGAGGACCACCCCCCGCCCCACAAGCTGTGTGACGGGGACAAAGGTCAAGGGCCCCCTGGGGGGGGTCAGCAGGGACACAGGAGCAAACGCTCACGTGGCAGTGCTGGGCGCACGGTTCCACAGCACGGACAGGATAGCTGCAGGCCACTGGGAAGGAGCCCCTGAACGGTGCCCGCAGGATGCCGGGTGGCCTCACGCCTGCTCTGCCCAGGTTGGAGGGCAACGTATGAGCCCTGAACTTAGTTCCCCCAGGTTAGAATCTTAAAGAAGAGAAGCAATGTTCCGATCCAAAGCCAGAAGCCAGGAGCTTCTTCCAGGTCTCCCACGTGGGTGCAGGAGCCCAAGCACTTGGGCCATCTTCCATCGCTTTCCCACGCCATTAGCAGGAGCTGGATCAGAAGTGGGGCAGCTGGGACTTGAACTGGCGCCCCTATGGGATGCTGGCGCTTTAGGATGTCAACGCCACAGCGCCGGCCCCTGGCCACAGGATCCTCAATTCAGCAGATGTCTCCTGGGAGCCCCGCGTGTATGGACCAAGGCTGAACGCCAGCGGGAATGCAGCAAGTGGAAGTCCCCGGCCCCGGGGAACCTACACTCCAGTGGGGTGAGCAGAGCACAGAGCACACAGCTACATCAACAGCAGGAAGCAGGCCGGCAGGGACGTGTGCAGGGACGTGTGCTGCAGACAGCGGCTGGGGGCAGTGAGGGCGCCGGGCCATCAGCGAGGCCTGGTTGGATGCCATGTTCATGCAGAGACACAAGGAGGGAGAAGGGTGGGTGCAAAGGCCCTGAGGCAGGAAGGCACCTGACAGGTTCATGAAGCAGCAGGCCAGGGGGAGCATTCAGAAGAGACGCAGGAGACAGGGACGGGCGCCTGTGTGGACCAAGTTGGGAGACAGTGAGGGCTCTGGGCCGGGGGCCATGTGCTCTGCCGCTGGGACGGGCGCCTGTGAGGAGCAAGTCGGGAGACACCGAGGGCTCTGGGCCGGGGGCCATGCGCTCTGCCGCTGGCTGCGGCTGAGAACAGACGAGGAGGGCGAGGCCCAGCAGGGTGAGCTGTCAGGAGGCTGCACGGCAGCACAAGTGCGAACCAGCAGCAGGAGGGACCGAGGGCAGCGGCAGGGCTGCCGGCAGAGCTGGAGCCGGGGACGTGAGGGCGAGGCAGGAACAAGGAGGCTCCCGGTGTAAGCCCAAGTGACCACAGGCTGCAGGGGCCCCAGGGGCCATTGCCCAGGGAAGGGAGACTGCAGGAAAAGCAAGCCGGGCCGCCCATCCGGCACGCAGGCAGGGCCAGCCCGGGGGACCGACACTGTGCTGTGAAAGCCACAGGAAGCGGGGCTGGCAGGTTAGGCCACTGCTCTCAGATCCAAACGCTGGTCTCAGCTCCGGCTGCTCCACTTCTGATCCAGCTCCCTGCTGATGCACCTGGGAGGTCAGCAGTGGCCCAAGTGCTTGGGCCCTGGCCACCCACATGGGAGACCAAGACGGAGTTCCTGGCTCTTGGCCTTGGCCTGGCTCTAACCTGGGTCTTGTGGGTACCTGAAGAATGAATGAGTGGACGGAAGATTTCTCTCTGCCTTATGAATGAATGAACGAATGAATGAATGAATCTTCTCTGGGAAAAAGAAAAGCCACAGAGGGCTGGTGTGAGTTAAGCCACCACCTGTGATGAGTGTTGGTTTGAGTCCAGGCGACTCCACTTCCAGTCCAGCTCCCTGCTGTTTGCCAGGGAAAGCAAGAGAAGACGGCCCAAGTGCTTGGGCTCCTGCACCCACATGGGGGACCCACGTGGAGTCCCAAGCTCCCGGCTGTGGCCTGGCCTGCCCCTGCTGTTGAAGGTACTCAGGGGATGAACCAGTGATGGACAAACTCTCTCCCCCTCACTCCCTCCCGCCCACTTTGTGACTCTATCTTTCAAATAATAAACAAATCTTTAAAAAAAATAGTAGGGGCCAGCAAGGTGGTGCAGCAGGTTAAGCTGCTGCCTGCCACACACGCATCCCACACAGGCACCAGTTCCAGTCCCGGCTGCCCCACTTCCTGTCCGGCTCCCTGCTAAGCCGCGAAAGACAGCTCAAGTGTTTGGGCCCCTGTCACCCACGAGAGACCCAGATGAAGCGCCTGGCTCCTGGCTCTAGCGTGGCCCAGCCCTGCCCATTGCAGCCACCAGAGAGTGAACTAGCAGACGGAAGATCTCTCTCCCTGTAACTCTTTCAAATAAATAAGTCTTTATATTTTTTTAAAGTAAACCCACAGATAACGACACCACCAGGGGTTTGTGGACAGGGGGTGCCTCCTGCCCCACCGAGGACCCCCACATGGCCCCTCAGAGGCCAGCCCCCAGCCACAGCACCCAGGGTTATCACCTCATGTGCTGGGACTGCCTTGAGCTCACAGGACTGCCCGAGCTCCACACGTGGCGAGCACTATGCTGGGAGCACAATGCTGGGACCTGCAGCCTGGGGGCTTCCCCACGCCAGTGTCAGAACAACCCTCCTGCACCCCCAGGCTCAGAGAGGTGGCCAGGAGAGACCAGGGCTCCCAGCACGGTCCTTCCAGGCCCAGATCCCCACGCGGCCTCAAGCAAGTATCCAGCCTCTCTCTGCTGGCTTTCTCACCTGTGCAATGGGGCTAGCAGAAACAACGGATCTCTCTCAGGGGTCCTGAGAACTGCATGAACCTGGGCTCTGCGGAGCTTTGCAGAGGGCTTGCGTTTCCCAACAGCCACTGGCGGCCCTCCCCCCCTTCCTGGCTCCCCGCCCTGGGGGCTCTGCCCTCCAAAGTGCGTCCTCTCTAGCCAGGCCTAGGTTCTAAACCCACAGCGCCTGCACTTGTCCCCAGGGACATCACCCAGGGCCTGCTGGGGCCCTCACTGGCTTGCTCTTGAAGGGTGCCCCGGGACCTGAGCACTCAGGCCCTCCCTCCCCACGGCCACCAGAGGGCGCTCTCTGAATGCACTCAAGGGCAGGCCTTTTCACCCAAGTACATCTGACTCCTGGCCACCAGGTAAGTCCCCCTCGCAGGGGATCCCAGCCAACCCACTCCCACTCCCCCCACAACTATGTCCACCCCACACTCACCCCGGATTGGTTCATCCTACACATGCACACACAGGCCACACACAGGCACGCACGTGATTCGCTCCTGGAAGACGGCTGCCTGCTGTTTCAGGCTGAACCCGCGTGCTGTGGTCTGAAAGCTCCCCAAATCCTTAGGCTGAGCCTCTCTCCAAGGTGGAGCTCTGGGGAGGTGATCGGGCCCTGGGGGCAGCCCTCTTGGGACGGGCACCCTTGTGAAGAGTCCCGGCACGCTCCCCGGCCCCTTCCACAAGACAGGGACCCAGCGAGAAGGCGCCATCCAGGCCCCAGACGCAGAATCTGTCTGCGCCCATCGTGGCCGCCGCTGCAGAACTGCAAACATGCACTCTCTGTCCACGCGCTGAGCCAGGACTCAGCAGACTGGGCAGCTCGTCACTGTCTCCACCTAGCCAGGCCGGCCCGGCCAGAATTAAGGACACCTCCCCTGCGGCCCCTCTCTGCTCCCGCTTCCACACGTGACCGCCCGGTAGAGGGAACTGAGCCTAGGCCCACGGCGCCCACCGAGGGGTGCTTCATCACACTCTCTCCCTCTCTGCACCACTCCTCAGCTGGCACAGAATCCACCCCCTCTGCCCAGAGGAGACATCACAGCGGGTTTCAGGATGAGCCTGCAGTCCCCAGAGGCCAGGCGGCCCCAAGATGCCCCGCCCACCCCCGCCCACCCACAAGGACAAGTTCTCGAGCCCTGGCTGGCCTTCAGGGAGAATGTCAGGTCCCGTGTGCCTGGGGGCTGGCAGGAGACGACAGCTCCATGTCTGCAGCTCTACCCGGACTCCCTGCCCTTGACCCCAGCCAGGGGGCTGCCTCCGCGGCACAGCCTCAGCCCAGACACTGCTGCCCAGAACCAGGAAGCAGCCGAGGCGTGGGGCTGGTGCAGGGCTGTTTGACAACGCACCTCTGCCATCACCACCCATGGCCGCCCTGCACAAGCCTGTGTGCTTCTGATCACAACTGAGCCAACAGGCCTCAAGAGGTGGCCCTGGGAGGGCTACGAGGGACGCTGGGGTGGCACAAGGGTCAGCTGGTTCGCAGCCCCCACCCCTGTGGCTTCCTACCTCCCTCACCAAGGCCAAAACCCAGCCTCACTCCAAGGGGACCCGTTCAGGCTGAGTGTGCCGGGGCCTCCAGAAGTCCCCAGTGGGCAAGGAGGGGAAGGCTCCGGGCCTGGCTGCACAGGAACTCCGTCCTGAGCTCAGGGGCCGGCACCTCCCTGGTATCCCGGCCCGGGGGGGCCCAGCCGCTTACCCCGTTCTGGCTGTTACAGTGCCGGGTGCTGATGATGGCCCCCGCCTCCTCGATCATCTTCAGGATGGTCCCCCCATGGACATTGCCAGCTATGTTGGCGTCATCGGGCCGCATGATCCTAGGCAGAACAGGGAGAAGAGGGGTTAGGGCCCCGAAGAAGCGACCACGGTGCACAGGGACCAGCAAGGGAGACAAGGGCTCAGAGGAGCACGTGTGTGTGGGGCGGGCCAGGTGCTGGTCCAACAGGGCCACACAGAGGGACTCTGCCATGCCCTCCCCGTGGGAGAGAGCAGGGAATAGGGGCCTCTCTCCCCTGGGGCTCCAGGCACCCAGCCTGCCCAGGCTTGTGCACGCTGACGGTGAAGACTCCGCAAAGCCCCAGGCCGAGACAGGCCCAGCTCAGCGGTCAGGGTCCCCGCATACCAACCCCTCTGGGTCCCGAGGCAGGCACAAGCCAGGCTCACCAGGTGACACCGTGACACACTGTGACCTCCAGAAGCAGATTCTGGGGCTATCAGCTTCACCAAAGGAGACACAGCACCCAGACCTCTGGGTCCTGTGGGGAACTGGCCCCGGGCTGCCGCCTGCCCACCCGCCAGCCTGGACAGGGAAACCGAAAACACCTCCTCCCTTCCCCGAAGAGGAAGGGCTTCACCCTCGCAGTGGGCGCCAGCAGCGACACAGGCCCGCTGACCACTCCTGCGTGGGCGATCCTGGCCGAGCCTGGCAGCCTCGGGCCCAGAGACGGGGGACAGGCCACAGACAGGCCTACGGTTCCTGCGCTCTCCTGGGCTGGTGTGGGGCAAGGACCGGCTCTTCTCCGGGTCTGTGAGAGCAGGCAGAGGCTGCCCGAGACAGACCCAGAAGTCATTCCCACTCCGCTCCTGCCAGCTGCGTGACCCGGGCAAGCCCCAGCACCCTTCACCACCTTGACCCCAAAATGGGCGTAACAGCAGCAGCGCCTCCCTGGACTACGGGAGACGAAGGACGCAGGCAACAGCACCACTCAGCGGCCACTGGCACACCACAGTCAAAGCACGGGCCCAGCGCCGTTTCTCCCTCCTCACTAAGATTATCAGGGCAGAAGCTCCGAGAGAAAGCCAAGGTGCCATTCTCTTTTTTCAAAAATTGCCAATTGGAACCTAATGATTTTTTTTGAAGATTTATTTATTTGAAAGGCAGAGTTACAGAGGGGAGGGGGGGGGAGAGATTGATCTTCCACCCACTGGTTCACACCCCAGATGACTGCAATGGCCAGGGCTGGGCCTGGCAGAAAGCTAGGGGCACAACCTTCATCCGGGTCTCCCACATGAGCACAGGAGCGCAGGCACTTGGGCCACCTTCCACTGCTCCCCCAGGCCACAGCAGAGAGCTGGACAAGAGCAGCTGGGACCCTACCAGCAGATGCCAGTACTGCACACGGCGGCTTCACCCACGATGCTGCAACAGCCCTGTCGCGGTGGGTTCTTTACCCTCGGCCTCAGCTCGGCAGCACGAGCCTGGACCTGGGACGTGGCCTCCCCAGGGGCAGCAGAGCCCAGCATTTCTGACTTTGGAATCCATCCTAGCAGCTCACACCAGCTCAGCCAGCACGCCTTTGTCCTCCAAGCTCACCCACAGGTGCAGGTCTTCGGCCCCTTGCTGGTGCGCTGGGGAGCCCTGTCCCCACCCGCGCAGGCAGGAGGACGCCAGCAGTGGGTCCGTGACCTGTGCTGAGCCCTCTCTGCACCAAGGCGGTGCCAGAGTCAGGCGTCTCCCCACGGGGACGTCCCCTTGGCCGGCAGCTTCCTGCTGGGCGCGGGAAACGGTCTCCGTGTGCATCTGTGCTGAGCAGCAGAGAGGCAGCCCAGGGCCAGGGAGCGGGGTCGTCGCAGGCGGCACTTCCAGCCCTCGGCCACTGCGGTGGGGGCGGGTGAGGGCCTTTCAGGCTGGACGTCCGGGCAGGGCCAGCATGGCAGGGTCACCTCCCCGGGCCTGCTGTCTCTTCAGCATCGCGGGCAGCTGGAGGAGTCGGGTTTTTTTGCAAGTTTGAGTTACCTCTACCAGCCATTTTTTGCCAGTTTGGGGGGGGGGGGGCGCACAGGCCAGCCCGGCCCCCAGCGATGCTGCCGGGCCAGCGGGAGGAAACGCAGACCAGAGGCCACGGGAGGGTGAGGGGTGCTCACACCCTGTGGGTACCAAGCAAGGAAGTGACGAGGGTGGCCCCTGAGACAGGAAGCCAGGACCAGCGCCCGAGGCTGAAGCAGCGTCTGCACTGGAGGTTTAGCGTGAGGGGTTGGGGCCAGCGCGGTGGCGCAGCAGGTACAGCCACTGCCTGGGACACCGGCATCCCACATGGGCACGGTTTGTGTCCTGGCTGCTCCACTTCCCATCCAGCTCCTTGCTAATGGCCTGGGAACAGCAGCAAAAGATGGCCCAAGTGCTTGGGGCCCTGCCACCAAGGAGCAGAGCCTCAGCAGTCAGCCCAGGCCCAGCCTCCCCCCAGGGGCCCTGTTCCTATGGTAGCCTGTGCCATGGTCGCCTCCACCACAGGTGCCCCCTTGCCTTCCCCAGTGGCTGCAACGAGAGGCTGGCCTGGGCAGCAAGTCTGACCCACTGTCCCCCTGCTGACCCCTCTCGAATGCCAGCCCCGCCCTCTGGCCCCTCCTCCGCCCCCAGACGCTTCAGGGCAGGCAGAAGGTTGCTGCTGCCCTCACCGCCCTGGGCCTGGGCCTGGCGGCCAGCAGTAGCCATGGCCACTGACTCACCACAGCCCCCACCCGGGTCAGAACCACATCTGTCCAGTCGTCACAGGATGAGCAAGCCACGCCAAGGCCTGCAGCTGACCCAGGCAGACACGGCCACCCAGCACTCCCTCCGCTGTGGCAACAAGAGCATGACGAGGTCCCGAGGGAGCAGAGCAAACACGCGTCAAAGAGTCAATCCCAGACTGGAAAATTTCTCAGACAGAGGAAGTGACGCCATCCTGACCGAGGGCTGGAGGGGGAGCGGAGCAAGGGATCGCAAGGACAAGGGGCACCAGGCCGCTGGGGGAGGGGAGGGACAGGCTAGAGGAGAGATGAGCTCACAGGAGGCCTCAGGCCCGGGACCACCTGGAGTCCATCCTGGAAGGAGAAAGTCAGGGCCGGAGCCGCCGAGCGTGCAGGGAGGTCACCGGGCTCGGGGTGGGGGGCGCATCTACCCAGGTCCTGCCTCGCCGGGCACCTGCTGCCCCAGGAGTGACCTCTAAACAAGACCTGCTCAGATCTGCTCTCCTCCCTAGGAAGGCACTGGAAGCCCTCAGGGATCCAGGCCGCCCCCCACCTCATCTGCCCCCGCCCTCGGGCTCCAAGCTGCACCTGCCAAGCCACCACTGCTCGCCAGGCACACGTGGCCCTGCCCACTGCCCAGCCTGCGTCCATCTGTCCCAGCAGTGTCTGAGCCTGGCGGGGGCCGGCACCGCCCATCCAAGTCCCCAGACCGCAGGTGGTCCTGACCGGCAACTCCTGAGCCAGGAGCTGTCCTGCAGATGTTCCCACAATCCAGCACACCAGGCAGGTTCAAAGCTCCTCGCTGCACAGCCGATCACCACGTGGAAGGGGGGCCAGCTCCCAAGCGTCCCTCACTAGGGGACAAGGGAAATGAAGCCAGACCCACGGGGGATCCGGTCAGCCTTGAGCAGGGCAGGGGCGCTCTCGGAGGCACGGTCAGGTGGGAACAAGCAAAGCACAGAGCAAGGGCAAGGTGACCACACGCGCATCGGGGCCTTTAACAGTTCTTCAAAAACACAGCTCAAAATCCACCTTCTCCACACGCCTTCTCCATGTCTACGCACTGTGGACGGCAGGACGCGTCCCAGGATGCCCTGCAGCAGACATGAGCAGAGGCGCAGAGGGGGCAGGTGCCAGGTCCATCCAGGAGGGCCCGCGTGCCAGGAAGAGCCTGAGCCCCGTGGAGCCCTAACTGTCCCCTAGGAGACACGCTCCAGCGCCCTCCCTGTGAGTGTGGCCTTGCTTGGAAATGGGCTCTTTGCAGATGTGATCAACTTGAGACTGACCGGGTGGCCCCAATCTGATGTCTGGTGTCCTTGTTTTTTTTAATTTATTTATTTATTATTATTTTTTTTTTTTGACAGGCAGAGTGGACAGTGAGAGAGAGAGAGACAGAGAGAAAGGTCTTCCTTTGCCGTTGGTTCACCCTCCAATGGCCGCCGCGGCCGGCGCGCTGCGGCCGGCGCACCGCGCTGATCCGATGGCAGGAGCCAGGAGCCAGGTGCTTTTCCTGGTCTCCCCATGGGGTGCAGGGCCCAAGCACCTGGGCCATCCTCCACTGCACTCCCTGGCCACAGCAGAGGGCTGGCCTGGAAGAGGGGCAACAGGGACAGAATCCGGCGCCCCGACCAGGACTAGAACCCGGTGTGCCGGCGCCGCTAGGCGGAGGATTAGCCTAGTGAGCCGCGGCGCCGGCCTGATGTCTGGTGTCCTTGTAAGAACAGAGATGTTGCAGGCGACACCCAGGGGACAGCCACCCCACAAGGGACGAGGCCGCAAGCCAAGAACTCCGGGGACTGCCGGAGGCCACGGAGCTGGAGCGGGCAAGGGCCCGGCCTGGCCTCCAAACAGCAGAGGCAGAGGCAGCACTGCCTCCGGAGCACCCCGACTTCAGACTTCCAGCCTCCCGTGGGGGAAGGTAAATTCCTGCTGTCTTCAGACAGCCCCCAGGAAGCGTGCAGGCCCTGCCCGGAGGCCCGCCCTCTAACCCCAGCAGGCAGTGATGTGTGGCACAGAAAGCCCCCGAGCCAGCAACCACGGCTGCAGGAGCAAAGCCTGGCTCAGCTCCCATGGCCGCAGGCCTGGCCGGCCCAGGCCAAGCACCTGTGCAATGACACTGGCGGCTGCCCCAGAGGGACTGTCCCTGCCTGCCCTGCCCACAGCCAGCTGGGAGTGAAGCCAGTATCTCTGATTCTGACCAAAACAAACAAACAAAACACCATCAGTGCTGGAGCCTGGTACCCAGGGGGAGCCACGCCCCCGCCGTGGCAGGTGAAAGCCGAGGACTTCCGGCAGCACAAGGTGGGGGCAAGGCCAGGCTCACGCGCACACAGTGTCCTCTAGGGGTGGTCAGCTCAACCCAGTGACA